CTTGTTGGTTAAATTTTATATTTGTTAAGTTTGTAATTCTTTTGTGAAAGTTGTGTTGGTATGTGTCCATGTCATTGTCCTTTTGTGATTGTTCTTTATTTGCTTGCTTTGTTCTTTCCTTTCTCGGGTTGTTTAATTTCTTTTGTTTGTTTAACCATTCGTATTCATATCTTCCTTCAACAAAATCTTTAATGTTGTTAATAATTTCGTTTATCTCTATATCAAGGAGGCAGACGGGAAGAGGAGAAAAATTAAAGAGAAAAGAATTAGAGAAGAATGGAAGACAATAAACAAAAAATATAGAGATAAACGAAACGTACTACATTGGTGGTTCGTCTTCTCTTTCCCTCTCTTCTTCCTCCTCGACGCAATTTGTCCCAAATTGTCGATCAAAACTATATGCGCATTCCTTTTTTTTATATGAACCTGTAGTGATAAATTATTGTCATCAAAAGCAAAGCTTATTGAAATGGGGTTGGTAATTATCTAAAAATGGAAAAATTAACCAAAAATATTTAATAGGTAATTAATATAAAAGGGATGAAAGGTAATTAATACATATAATTTTTTTATTTGTTTCTGCTCTCTGCCGCCTCTTCTGACAGAGCTCCTATAGGCAACAGTGCTTGTTCTATTGCTGTTGGGCCATGTATCAAAATTTTATGGAGGGTTGGTGACATGGGGTACTAGTAATACAACTGGATGTAGAGCTTAGCCGTATCTCGACAGTACTCTGAAAATTTATGTACGTCAATTTTATGACTGTTAGATTACATACATTTAATAACATACGCCATCTAGTAAGTTGTTTAGTTTCGAGTATGATTTAGGAGTGATCAAGTAGTTACGCTATGGTTACGAAAAGATACTGTTTTTGTATTTAATAAAAACGACACGTTTAAAAGCGATCACGTATTATTTTTCACAATGACCACTGGATATAACTTCCAGAATTCAATGTGGTCGATTCCTGTTATACTTGCCGAGGTTTCTACATTAGAGAAGAATCTTCTGCTAGTATTTCCATCGTTGCTGTTGCCGTAGTTGGCTTTAGGTATGTCAACGATTAGGCCAAGTTCATTTCTAAACTTTTCTTGAATAGTTTGCTTCCGTTCTTTTATAATATTCTTTTTTGATTCTGTTCTTGTTTGCCACTTTTTTATTGTAATTTTATACGAAATATTTAGTCATGTTTCGAAGAATCTTATTCGTGCATGGAAAATCGACAGTCCAAACTCAAGGTTTTCTGAGTTTATAGGTGCTTTTTAACATTTTTCCAAATCATTGAAATCTTTTGAAGTAAGCGTACATATATAACATCGCATGCTCGAGCCTGTATTGGTGGCGGCATTGCAGACTTTACCATCTACTGGTAGTGGTGTTTCCGGCGTTTATTAGCATGAGGTCGGTTCTGGCCGCCAGTTCGAGCACGCGCTGACGCCTCGAATCTGTTCTTGTTGCGCCCCGTTCAGTCGCATTTGAATTAAAATCGCTGGCCACGATTATTTTCCCACCGAGTTCGCGAATTGTGTCCTCGAGCAGATCTAATTTTCTTTGGAATTCCGTTGGATTTTGCACTTGTTGCGTTTTGGTTGCTTCTAGAGCCGCTTTAAAATTTTTGAAGGCGCGCCGGAGCCCAAAACGTGGTTCGCTGGTGCTTCTTTATCGGTGCACAAGAAGTAGCTAGGCTCGTTATTACCAGCTGTTCTAATGTGGACCGGTTGTCCGCAATTGAGGCATAAGCCTTCACCCTTTCTATCTGGCCCTTGGCATCCTGTTGATCTGTGGCCGTAGCCAATGATCGACTTCGTTTGAAGTCGTTCTTTGATTCGAGCATTCACCCACACTATTTTTATATGGCTCATCTTCAGTAGTTTGCTTGCGATTATTGCGTGTACAATAGCTTTTCGTAGCTTCTGTGCGTTCTCATTCGTTATAGATATTTTGATATCCCCCTCCAGTTCCGGGAGCGTGTTGTTTGATAGCCGCCTGGACTTCATCAGGGTCGTCAGGCAGTCGACATCCAGTAGCTCTAGAGTTTTCTTGGGCTCTAGGTCCGTGACTGTAGCCTGTTGACCAAAAACTTCTCGCAGCTTGCCGCCGAAAGAGCTAGCGGTTTTTGAGTTTCTACTCAGCTCCACCAATACGTTTCCGTCTTTTGTTTGCCGGACCAGCTTGACTGTAGTCTCCGTATCTTCCGGTTTCGTGCTACCGCGTATCTCGCCAAGGATGTCTGCGTACGTTTTCCCTGCGGTAGGTTTAATCAGCAGGGCCGTGTTGCTTTGTCTCAGAGCTCTGACTTTCGCAGGCTTCCTAACAGGGGCGTCTTGGGGCGATTTCGTGGGGCGTTTGCTTCCGTTGTTTCCTCATTCCCTTATTTTTTGTTCTCTTCTTCTTGACGCTCTTCTCTTTTGCTCTCCCGTGGTCTTTTGTCGCTTCTAACTGCCGGGCTTGTTGCATTTCGCTTCTTAGTGGTTTTATTTTACAGGTCCTTTGCCTGATAGCCTGCTTTCGCTCAGCGATTTCTTTCTCGACCTTCCGCTGACCGGTTTTACACATCGCGATAACCTCCAGAAATTCTTCAAGTTCACTGAACCCGTTTTTTATATTCATCGATATATTTTTCTGTCGGGATGTCGCAGTTTTTATCTTCGGCAAGATGGCGAGGCACCTTTTTATTACTTCTTCGTCTCGTCTCAGTTTTTCAAGGAAATCCTTTTTCGGAGACATTCGGGGCGGTTCATCATATGTGCTGGACTCTAGTTCCATGCCACCTATAGGTTTGAGATTATCTCCAATGTCCCTTTCTGTAAACAAGGACTCGTCGTCGATCCCAGACGTGGCTGTGGTTATGGACGCGTTTGTGGGCGGAGACCGTGCCACTTTGCTGCCCCTACTACTTTTGTGTATAGACTATCCAATCAAGTGTTTGCTCTTACAAAACTTTTGTAATCCATTCCACCTATGTGTAGAACTTGAAAAAAATACGTACAATTGCTGAACGATATTGAAAAAAGGTGGTCATTTCCATGCAACTTTCGGCGATTTACGCATGATATAAAATGGGCAGAAAAAATATGTTGTTTTATTCTGGATTGCAGTGCTTTATATTTACCTGACATATTAAACGCATTATCATAACTCTGTCCCCGACAGTTAGTGATGTCTAAATCTATATTATTTAAAAATTCTAAAATAACTTTCTCCATGTTTTCGTCAGTATGAGAAAATATAGGTAGAAATCCCAAAACTGTTTCTTTTATACCACTTGGAAGAACATAGCGAATAATTACGGCCAGCTGATCTACGTGAGATATATCAGGTGCCGCAGTTTGCATATTTTTTCATGCGTCCCGCAAAAATGGATCGAACTGGGATAAATATTCCAAAGCACCTATATAATTACCATTATTTTCACTAAAAACACTTCATTTTTACCACGAAACGTTAAAGAGTATGAAGAAATAAATTTAATTGTCGCTATCACGTTTAAGTACTTCCCTCTAATATTTTTTTCAAGTTCAGTGTCAATGCGTCCGGTAATTTTGGATCTTGTTATAAAAATTAAAATGGAGTTAATGTGGTCACTGGAGTTTTCATGCTCTGACAATTTTTTATGTAGATTTTTCCAATCATTCGTCTCTTTTGTCATTAGCGTTGTTTGCTTGGAAAATAATTTACAGACGTAACAGTACAATAAGTTGTTGGTTTCAGTATAAGCCAACCAATTTCTTCTAACTTTTTCCCCGCTATTAATTGTTCTGAAGAAGGAGACAATAGTAAATTTTCTTGTGAATTGTATTGACCCTTGATAATACTCTCGCATGGCGTCTGTTAAGTATTCTGGCTCTGGCCATAATGCAATATCGTTTATAAAACTTAGTTTCATCATTACTTTGAGATGATTTTAAATTTATATTTTTTCCTTTTATTTCATCTTCACAAACGGAATTGTCTGGTTTTTCCTGCTGGTTTTTTTGCAGAATAGTTTCGGACACAAATGATGTTTCTTGAGTTTGGGCAGGTGAAATTTGTGAAAATGATAACGATTGTTGTAATTGTTCTCCATCTACAGTTAAAAATTTGTCCAACGATCTTTTCATTTGTTTTGCCACTTTATCTCGACCTGCTTTTTGTTTTCTTTTTGCACTTCCACTTAAGTGTTTATAGGAACTCATTTTCAAGACCACGTGCTAAAAAGAAAATGATCTTCAATTAAATTTATTTTTACTCAATATCACAATCACAAACAGAATCACAATTTGTGGTATTTTATATTATATATTATTTTAATTAAATAATGTAATACTTTTATAAAAACTTACATTTTTATTTTAGGAATTCCAGAAAGCATTAACTATGAATCCAAAACAATCTATTTGCAATCAAGTGTAGGTACTTAAGTCTTAATTGCACAATTTTCAATCACAACTCACATAAGATGCAATATGTTCAGGAGACACTGATTTTAAATAGCTACCAGTGTTGGCGCACCGAAGAAAATAAATGTACCAAAAATGCGTAGTGAAAATGAACAAAATGTACTGAATTCTGAGAGGAAATATTGGAGACTTTTTTTTTTAAGTCATAAGTTGAAACAGAACTTGTTACTTTTATCACTTTTGAACTGTATTTACTAGCGTTCAAAAGTGCTGTTACTACTTTATACTACTTTTTTATTACCTAATAATATACTATTAAACACTTGTCCACCTATCCCCCGATTTACACGGTAGATAGTAGACGTTCCTGAGAAAAACGTGTAAATCGATAATTAAAAATTTTCAAGTCAAAACCGTGTAAATCGAAAAGCTTGCACAAAATGCATAATTTTGCTATTTAACAGTTGTGATTTTTTTCAATATTTTTAGGTGTACACAGAAATAAAAATAAAATGCATTGACAGGTTAAAATATGTAATATATTACGCAAACACTATTTTTTTATTTAATTACAATACATTAAACTGAAGAACAAAAAATAAAACCAAAGGTGTTTTATTATCCTTCATCACTGTCAGAAATTACTCTCATTCTTTTTTTCGGAATCGACGGTTCGAATTCACTTTCATCACTCGAAGTTATTTGTGCCGATTCGATGTTTGAAGCAGAAATATTTACATTATGAGAATTGGTAATAAAATCGGTTATTAACAATTGCTTCGAATTTTTTGTAAGATCTTTGTAAACTTCTTCATATTGAGCCAAGCAGCGATTTATGTCACGTTGGAATCGTAAAGCCCTTTCAACGTTTGTGTCATTTTGTATAAAATGATTACCCAGCTTTCTTCCCAATGCGAGCCCTTCGCGGATGACTTTAGCAGTGAATGTTACTGGTACTAATTCGTCTTCATCAGATTTGTCAGACTCACTTTCGCAAACTAAGTTAACTAAATCATCCTCACTTAGTTCTTTATCAGTCATTAACTCTGCGATATCATCTTCAGTAAAATCATCAAAACTTTCTCCGCCCAATAAATGTGCCATCTGTACTATCTGCGAATATTCATCATTTAACGTTGAAATGGAATGTTCATTTTTGACTACATTTGGCCACAATTTTTTCCAACAGCTATTGAGCGTTGTTTGCTTAATCGCAGTGTATGATAAGGCGATATGCTTCACACAGTCTAATATTGTAAAATTTTTCCAAGCACTAATAACTGTTAAAGATTCATTGTTCTCCATTTGTTCCAAAATGTATGTAAAGGCTCGTTTTATGTACAAAGCTTTAAAAGTAGAAATTATGCCTTGGTTCAATGGTTGTAATAATGAAGTTGTATTTTATGGTAAACCTTTTACTTCAACGTTCTCATATTCTAGATCTTGTGGGTGACCCGGCGCATTGTCAATTAACAAAAGCACTTTAAAAGGCAATCCCTTTGAACTTAAATATTTTTTGGCATCTGGGATAAAACATTCATGAAACCATTCAGTAAACATTGCAGCAGTAACCCACGCTTTCTTATTAGCCCTCCAATAAAGGGGAAGAATATTGATGTTTACTCCTTTAAAGGCACGGGGCATTTTTGATTTGTTAATCACTAATGGTTTCATAATATAATCTCCTGAAGCATTGCTACAGAAAAGAATTGTTATGCGATCTTTTGCTGCTTTATGACCACTAGCCGATTTATAAAATTTTGAGACATAAGTCCTTTCAGGCATTTTTTTCCAGAATAACCCTGACTCATCAGCACTGAAAACCTGATCAGGGGTGTATGAATTGTCGTTAATAATTTCTGCAAAATTTGCTGGATATTCTTGGGCTGCATCTACGTCACCAGAAGCCAGTTCACCTTTTAATTTTAAGCTGTGTAAAGAATGTCTTGTTTTAAATCTTTCAAACCAGCCATGACTTGCCAAAAAAATCGGCTTCTTTTCAGTTGAAGAAGAAGATGGTAATTGCTCTACAATTTTTTCGTAAATTCGTAATGCTTTATTTGTTATAGCGCCCGTATCAACGGGTACTCTTTTTTGTGTTTGATCTTCTATCCAAAGCATTAACGTTTGCTCCATTTTTTCCGTTGCGATATTTCTGGTGTATGATGTTGTGCCCATACTCGTGGTATTGCCAGCTGCAACACTCTTTCTAATTGTGTTTTCAGTTTTTCTAATAGTTCTTATTGTAGCTTCCTTCATGCTATATGATTTTGCAACATCTACTACTCTATCTCCCTTTCGTAAGCGATCCAAAATTTCGATTTTAGTTTCTAAAGAAATAACTTTTCTTTTAACTTCTTTCGACATTATAAGCCTATAATTTTTTTAAATTTATGATCATTTATAATAATCTAAATTATGCACTCACTTGTAATTTACGAATATGGAAAATTAAATCTTTCTGAAACTGTGAAACTTTCACTCAAATACAATTTTCCGTAGATAAAACTTTAATTTTATGCGAAGAAATACAGACACAGTGTGCGTGTGCAGCAAGTCAGCACATAAGCTCGGGATTCCCCGTGAGATGTGTACACAGCGCACGTGTTCAATCACAGTAACATTTAGTAGAGTGCGATAAAAACAAAAAAGAACTTATTTGGAAAACCGTGTAAAACAAGTACCGTGTAAATCGGGGATAGGTGTATAGTAAAGGCTCGATCGTATTTACACACATCGACACTCGTGGGCGTGGGCGGATGCATAAGCACTGGAACGCTCGTCCACACTTGTCGACTTTATCAATCAACGATTCAGCATAATTTGGATACGTTTCAGCAAGAATTACACTTACATTACATTACATAGAATACATATCGGGTAGGCGGACCAACCCAATAATTACACTTAGTCACGAATGTCTTCGTACAGGCTAGAAATTCGTATTTATGAACAAAATAATTATTTATTTATAACTGTTATGAAACAATTTACATATTTTCAACGATTATTAATGATGTAAAATTAAAATATATGCTTCTAGTAAGAATTAAAAAAGATAACGAAGATAAATTACTTTTTTTGATCACACGAAAGTGTTCGTACAACGAATTATTAACAAAATAACTGAACAAAAATCCTATTAAATAAATAACTAGTATCGTGTCGGCCCACCTTTCTGCTCTAAAACAGTTTTTAAACGGTTTTGCATCGACGATACTATGTTTCTAGTAACATCGGGCGTAATATTCTCCTATTCTTTCAAAATCGCTTCTTTAAGAGAGGCTATGCCCATTATCCTATTTTTTCTCACTCTTCTTTCAATTTCATCCCATAAATGTTCTATGGGATTTAAGTCAGGGGACTGAGGTGGGGAATTTAATTGCTTTGGAACTTTATACAACAGCCATTCCTTAACTATCTTCGTTGAATGTTGAGGATTATTATCCTGCTGAAATATCCATATCCTTCATAGATTTAGTTTATCAACTGGCACGCAAATTTTCCTTCAATATGTTAAGATAATAAAAACGGTCCATAATTTCATCAATAAAAACCAAATTCTCTACCCCAGCCGCCGCCATGCATTCCGAAACCATAATTGATTCACAACCGTGTTTTACCGTAGGTAAGAGATGCTCGAGTTTGAACTCAGTATTCGGTTTTCTCCATACTTTACCCCGTCCATCCGATCCAAAAATATTAAATTTAGATTCATCACTAAATAATACGGTGTTCCAAAATTCCATAGGTTTGTCAATGTGTTCTTGAGCAAATTCCACGCGTTTCTTCTGGTTTATTGGATTGATAAACGGCTTTTTCCGCATTTGTCTTCCATTAAAACCTTGCTTCCGTAACAGCCGACGAATACATTCTGGGTGGATATCCTTTCCTGTTTCTTTCGACACCTCTGCCGCCAATATTAGACCACTCACAATTGGTTTTAATACTTTACAAATAATATTTCGTTTGTCTCGTGAGTTTAACTTCGAAGGGCTACCTGCTGCCCGAGGTTTATTGCTCACATTATTATTAGTTTTGAAGTTTTTTATGATATATTGCACTGTAGATCGTTATGTAGGATTAACAAGTTTTGAGATTGTGCTCAACGATTTCTCTTCGTTTTTGAATTTAACAATTAAATTTCTTAATTCTTCGCTAGTTTCTTTTCTATGGGCGCTCATTGGAAATTGATGTTGTAAATGTGATGCAATTGTCGCACTGAACATGTCTTAACAAGTCAAAGTTTACGATAAATTAACAATCGGCAAATCATCATAATGAACTAAGATCAGTGTCGTATCAGTGTAGTAAAAAAACGATATTTTTTTAATTTAATTATTTATTTAAATAGAATATACTTTATTTTATCCATAAAACTTTATTAACTGTTTTATATTATACATTTCGATAACGAAATGTAGCAAAATTTATAAATAATCGGTTATGTTGTTGTTTTTTCACCTGTACGAAGACTTTTGTGACTAATTGTAAGTGTATGAACATCACGTTTTACTGTTAAATAAAAATTAAAAACCTAATTTACGGGCCCCAAAAATTACGGGCTCTAGACACGTGCCTAGGTTGTCTAGGCCTTAGTCGCCCCTGTCTGTACCAATTAAAGCTTTAAACCGAAAAAGATCTGAATATTTTACGTGTAAAAGTTTTATTTTATTTATTTTATTTAATCTTTACGTGTTATTTATTGGATTTTCTTTTCGTGTTTATGATCGCATCTTTTCGAATCGAAACGTGATTGGTTACATTTTGAGACGCTAGGTGGTTTGGTTCAAGGTGTGTGTAAGGGTGCGCGGTCCTGTTCCGCTACAACAGTCGTAGGTTTACAGTTGGGCTGTGGTTGGGCTAGTCGTTGCTCATAATAAGTAGATCTCCCTCTTCGATGTGGAAACGTGGTTTAATCTGAGATAATTGCTTTTTGTGAATTTTGTTTTGGGGAGTTTTATTCGTGATAGACGGATTTAAATCCTGTTCTTGGAAAGCCTTGTGGGATCGGCGGATGTATAAGAATATATTTCTCGTTGAGAGGCCATCTTTCGTTGTAGCCGTTTAACATCTTGGGTTACTCGATTTTTATTCAGGTAATTATCAAATATTTTTTCTTCGTTTTGTTTTTTTTGTAATTTTGGTCCATTTTGCGTTAATATTCAGATCCACATTATTTGCTGCTTGGTATAAAAGAATTTTGGACATTTTTCAAGAATCGGACTCGCGTAAAAATCGATAATTTTTTTAATCGATCGGATATCACCCAAATAAGACGTTACAATAAAAATAATAGTATATAATAATTTATAAGGTATATAAATGAATTATGAGTAGGGCTCGGATTTTATGCAAAATGCATCTTCTTTATTTTCTGGAATATTTTTTTCAAAATTGGTAGAAATTTGGTAGAGTCATAAAATGGACCAAAATAAGGTTTACGTATTTTTTTATACGTTTATATAACATTTAATATTTTACGATAGCACTTTTTTTCTTCGAGATATAAACAAACATCTTTCCCTAACTTCTAGGCCTTAGGACCATTTTCAGGCATTTTTACTTCACATATAAAACAAATACCGTGGCAAATTTCGTCAAACTCGACTTGGTGTTTGAAACGTTCAAATAGAATCAAGTAAGATTATATTGTTTAAAAAATAAATCAAGTATGTTCATTTAATTCAGTTGTTGATTGTCAATAAAATCTCGACAGAATAAAAAGCGTCTCTAAGTATCTCAAAATAATACTTTCAGTGGTGTGAATTAGTGACTTAGCCGGACAAAGGTACTCAATCTCTTTTTCTCTATTTTTTTTGTACGCGAACATTATAAATTAAAGTGAAGATCCGAAAAATCCTTTATAGTTTAACGACACCAGGAACAGAATTAATTTTTAAGGAGGTATTTAACCTCACTACCCCCAAATGTCGTATATGCCTTACTTTAGGTTAAACATTTTACTTAGCGACTAATTTACGGCTTTGTTTAAAATATTTTCAATATACCTGACAATTTTGTCACATCATTCTTACGAAAAGTGGTTACATGTTAACCCCCGTAACTTCGCTGGGATTGATCCAAGACGAATGAGAAAAAATACTTAACCAATATTTTTGAACGTATATTTTTCGATATTTCTCAGAAATAGTAGTGGCCCGAAAAAGATGGTTCAAAATACTATTTATGAGCGTTTGGGTCATTGCGAGACCGAAGAAGGTCGACAACGTGCAAACAAACATGAAAACATTTTATTTTGCCATTTGGTAGCCCGCACATAATTCTTGAAAGAATTAAGATATCGGTTGGTTTTGGTTTATGGGGTTGTTTCTTTTTTCATTACCTTTAAAATAAGATAAAACTCGACAGGGGTTGCTATTTAAAAATGTAGGGGTGGTCATCCCCTAAAAAAACTCCACATTGCATGGAACTTCTAAACTATCTAAGAATGTAGTTTTTATGACTCTTTAGTGCCCCGAAATTTTTTAATTTTTTTCTTTACTCGTTCAAAACTTATAGCTCCGTCCGAGTTTTAGGAAACCTTGTATATCCCAACTATATAAACCAACAAAAACAGTTTCTCGGGTTATTGAAGGACAAACAATAGGGCCATATAACGTCGACCCTTCAAGCTTTAACGGAAACTTCCTTTTCACAACGGGAGCAATAATGTTTTTGTTGTGTCGTAACAGGGATGTATAACTCACTTGTATTTAAAATAACTTTTATTCTGCCAAACAATAAGTAGAAAATACACTAGTAAATTATAACGTGAAAACTTGTTATGCGCATATCGTTCCGCATCGTAATGTCGTTTTTTTTCCATACCCTGTATTTTCGGTCTCCTACTTGGTCGGTAATAAAGTACTGCTTTTTTGTTATAATTATTTTTAACAACATTATTATAGAACTTTCTTTTAGAAATCTTTTAAGTTAAAATGTGTACTAAAAATTTTGCAGAAAATTATGAAAATGATCGATAACATTAAAAAATCAATTAACCGCTCAGCAAGTTTTGTTTCACAAGACTATACATCAATCTAAAATGGCAACTGAAGCATCTTATGTCATAACATACGTTTTGGCAAAACATAAAAATATTATCATTATGTCTTTATATTTTAGTTCGAGTGAAATTAAAATAAAACTATTTGTGTTTATGAGATGGATAGTTTTTATTTTCGGCTCGACCGGTTTCGATTAATATTTTTAATCATCTTCAGGAGCATGTTAGCTATTACAATATGGATAAATTGAATTAATTTAATTAGATAAAATAAAATTTAAAACTTTAGAAGATATTAATAGTGTTTACATATAAAAATATGTGTTTGTTAAAAGTTACGACATGTTATACAGGATGA